GCTTGGCAGGCAAAGCTGCACAATGACCTGAGTTAGGTCCCTGAAACTCGGTGAGATCTGACTCCAAAAATTGTCTTCTGTCTGCCATGCAGGTGCCCATGCCCCCACCCAATAATAATAATAATAATAATAATAATAATAATAATAATAATAATAATAAAATCAACAACAACAACAAAGATAATAATAAACAAAGCAGGGAACCAGAAATACATGAAGTGGAAAAAGCAAAAGACCAAAGTCACGCCCTCAGCTGTTTCCATTTCCTTCCTCTCCAGCTCCCAAATCTTACCTTCCTGGATTTCCAGTGGTTGTTACTAGGCAGCAGAGACAACCAGATTCCTTCCACAACAGACGGCATGAGTTGGTGGGGTGCAAAGTTCATGGTCTCCCCTAACCCACTAACAGGTGGATGGTTCTGAGAAGGCCAGATGTTCTGTGCCCCTGAGCTTGGGTCTCCACGTCAAGGTGACTTGAATTCAGTTCCCTGACGTGGTGGAAGGAGAGAACCAATTCCCACAGTGGTGCTGCACACCTGTAATCCCAGCACTTGGGAGGCAGAGGCAGGCAGATCTCTGAGTTCAAGACCAGTCTGGTCTGTAGAGCGAGTTCCAGGACAGCCAGGGCTACACAGATAAGCCCTGTCTGGGGCAGGGGAGGGAGAGATAAAATAGAAATGAAGCAAATAGATTACTAAAGGTTTTCAGCATGTTCTTCAGCTGTCTGTTGCCTCTTGTGGTACCTAAGTGTATCTCATGGAACCTGGCCTCATTCCCTGAAGAAAACAGCACCTCAGCTTGGTGCAATAGCTCCTGCATGGATTCTCTGCTGGGAAGGGTGAGGTGGGAAGATTCTATAAGTTCAAGGACAGCCTAGACTGCATAGAGCTTGTCTCAGAAGACGAAAACAAGCCAACAAAAACAATGCTCGGTGGTTAAGAGTGTACACTGCTCTTCTGAGGGAGCCAAATTCAATTCCCAACGACCATGTCAGGTGGCTCACAACTAACGCCTGTAGCCGCAGCACCAGGGCATCTGATGTTTCTGGCCTCCTTAAGCACCTGCACTCATGAGCACATATCCCTCCACAGACACTTACACATAATTCAAAATATAAAGAAAAAAATTTTTAAAGTTTATTTACTATGTATATAGCGTTCTGCCTACATGCCAGAAGAGGGCACCAGATCTCATTACAGACGGTTGTGAGCCACCATGTGGTTGCTGGGAACTGAACTCAGGACCTCCGGAGGAGCAACCAGTGCTCTTACCCTCTGAGCCATCTGTCCAGCCCTAAAATTTTTATTTTTAAATTAATTTATTTATTAAAAGGAGACCTTTGCTGGTCCAGAACTGAATTCACTATGTAGACCAGGCTGCCCTCAAAGATACACATGTCCAGCCTTGAAAATCAGTCTTTAAAAACAAAACAGGCTGGGTGGTGGTGGCACACACTTTTAATCCCCAGCACTCATGAAGCAGAGGCAGGTGGATCTCTATGAATTTGAGGTCAGCCTGGTCTACAAAGCGAATTCTTGGACAGCCAGAGCTATACAGAAAAACCCTTTCTCAAAAAGCAAAGCAAAATAAAAACAGGACAAAACAAAGTGTATAGGTACATTTTACATCCTGAGCTGATAAACAATTTCTCATACATTGCAAAAATATTTTACCTAGGCTGCTATTGAATGCTTTTCTTTTTTATTTTTCAAGACAGGGTTTCTCTGTCCTGGAACTCACTCTGTAGACCAGGCTAGCCTTGAACTCAAAGAGATCTGCCTACCTCTGCCTCCCAAGTGCTAGGATTAAAGGCGTGTGCCATCACTGTCAGGCCTTTTAGTTCTTTAATTGAGGAGGACCCAGTAAAATGGCTATTTGTGCATAGTGAAGTTGCTCTCACAATTTTGATTCTTTTGATATATAAATACAACTTGCAGCTGGGCAGTGGTGGTGCACACCTTTAATTCCAGGAAGAAGCAGGCAGATCTCTGAGTTCGAGGCTAGACTGGTCTGCAGATCAAGTTCCAGAAAACAGTCAGGGCTACACAGAGAAGCCCATCTTGAATAGCCTAAATAAATGAATGAATGCAACTTGTTCGGCCCCTTTGGTGTCTCCCGTGAGTGTTACTGGTGTGTATGTGATTACAGCTATGCCCCACTGGAGAACCAATCAGAGAGTTCATCCCTAGGGAAGACTAGGTCTCCTGCCCTCCACACTCCTTAGTTGCTCATAGTTCTCTGTCCACGAGTGGAGCACCTTGAGATTGATGCCTTCCATGTTAGCATGTCTATTGATATTGTATGTCTCCAGGCTTTGTTTGGGCAGCTGTATTGTTGTGCTCTCATGGGTAAAGCTTCCCTGTTACTTGCTGGCATCAAATGCATGTGCCACCATGCCCAGTAGATATTTTTCGTCTCAAATGAGTTTTGCTTTTCCTCTTCCAAGAGTTATATCCTACAAAAATTCAGCTGGCTTTCCTTATTATACTGCATCATTTTTTTGTTTTCATTTAAGGCAGGTTCTCAGGTGGCACAGGTGACATAGGTCAGAAAACTTAATTGTATCTATACAACTGTTTAGGCAGCACATTTTCAACAGACCTGCTGCTGTAGTGAGAGCAAATGAAATTCCAGAAAAAAAGGATGTGTTTCCAGAGCGTTTGCCTACACAAGGCATGTTCACTACCAGCATGGGTGTAGTGCTCAGAGGACATCTTTCGGGGTTGGTTCTCTCCTTTTCCCATGTAGGGCCAGGGATCCAACTCCAGGAGTCAGGCTCTAGCCACTGAGCCATCTTCTCAGCTATGCTTTTTCTTTTATTAAAAAAAAAAACTAGCCGGGCAGTGGTGGTGCATGCTTTTAATCCCAGCGCTCGGGAGGCAGAGGCAGGCGGATCTCTGAGTTCGAGGCCAGCCTGGTCTACAGAGTCAGTTCTAGGACAGGCTGCAAAGCTACACATAGAAACCCTGTCTCGAAAAATCAAAAATTAAAACAAAAACACTTTATATTTCAAAATCAGATTTATTCATTTTTATATGTGAAAGTTTTACCTGAATGTATATACATCTGTGACCAGATATAGCGAGGTGCCCAAGGAGATCAGAAGAGAGCATTGGATCCCCTGGAACTAGAGTTTCAGATGGTTGTGAACCACCATGTGGGTAATCAAATCTGGGTCCTCTGCAAGAGCAACAGGTGCTTGTAATCACTGAGCCACCTTTCCAAGCCGCTACTATCACCCTTTTAAGAATCTGTTAACAGCCGGATGTGGTGGTGCATGCCTCAGCTCCTAGCACTTTGTAGCAGAGCCAGGAATTTCAAAAACCAAAATAAATAATTAAATAGATACACACCTCTCACGGGGCTTTTGTTGAGTGTGATTATCTTCTAACTCCCCTCTCCCCCAAGAAGGCTTCCCTGTGTAGTCCTGGTTGTCCTGAAACTCATTTTGTAGACCAGGCTGCCCTCAAACTCACAGAGATCTTCCTGCCTCTGTCTCCTGAGTGCTGGGATTAAAGGCGTGAGCCACCACTGACTGTCCTGACTTTTTAAATTTTTATTATTTTGACTTTGTATGTATGGATGTTTTGCCTGCATGCATGTCTGTGCACCAGGTGCATGCCTAGTGCCTTCAGAGGCCAGAAGAGTGTGTGAGATCTCCCTGGAACTGAAATTACAGACAGTTGTTAGCTGAAATGCGGGTGCTAGAAACTGAACCTGGGACCTTGTGGAAGAGCAAGCAGCCAGTACTCTTAACCTTTGAGCCCTGGGTGTGACTTTTAGAAACCTTGGTGATGTTTGCATTTTTTTCTCATTTTTTTCTAGAGTTAAGAGGGCCTCACAAAGAGGTCTCCTTTAGGAAGGGATGTCTTAGAAGAACTTTTCTATTGCATTTTCCTCCCCTTCCCAGAGTTGCTAATCTAATCGGCCCTCCTGGCCTTGGCTGCTGAGGAGGTTCCTGTCCCTGGGTGGTGTACTGAGAACGAGACTTGGGCAAGCTTCCCAGGCTGAGGAAAGAGGAAATGGGCCCAGTGTACTAAATGAGCAGATTAAGGCCTAGAGGCTCAGGGCTTGGTTTTGGGGATCAGGCAGGCCACCTGCAGGATCTTACTGGGTGATTTAGGACAGTTACAGATCTGTCAGTGCAGTCAAGAGGCGCTGTAATAACAGCTGCCATGCAGATGTAGTTCATGGGTAGAGCATAGGGAAGTCCTGGGTTCCATCCCCAGCACTTAAAAAAACAAAACAAAACAAAACAAAACAAAAACAAACAAACGAACCGACTAACAAGCAAGCAAGCAGTTGCTTCTCTAGGCCGAGGATTTAATAAGATAAACATTCATATCACTTTGGGCACTTTGCTTGATTCATTGTTGGTACTCATTAACTGGTAGTTGTGTTGAGGACTGACTGAGTCTGGGGCAATCTATCATTGAGCTCAACTTCATCCCCAGTGGTTGTTTTTGTCTTTAATTTCAGTTTAGCAAGCATTTCATTTATTTTTTTTTTTTATGTGAACTTTCTCATTTGGGCCTTCCACCCATTCAGCCCCAGTTTCGATCTGTGTATGAATATTTTTCATTAAGGGAGAAACTGAAAATGCTGCCGACTCAAGCGGCGAAACTGGTTCTGGAGTGCTCGGTTCCTTCCGACCCAGCCTGGTCTCCGCACCAGCTCGGCCCAACAGGCCGCAGCAGGCCCTCCTCGCCTCTGCGCGGGCCGCTCAGCGCCATCTTTGAACCTGGAACCCACGCCTCACTTCCTCACTTCTTTATACCTGGAAGAGCTGTTCCAGACCCAGACATGGCCTCTGGGAATAAGACAATCCAAACCCACAGCCTTTTTGTTGTACTGGCTGATATGAATCTTCATTTTTTCCTTCTCGGCCTTAAGGACGATGCTGTTACCAGTTCAAAAATGGCGCCGCCAGCCTCACTTCCTCTTGTCGAACTTCCGCTGAAGGAGGCAAAGCCGGCGGCGGTCACGTCTCAAGGCGCCGGCGCGAATGGGCGGGGCTGTCGCCATGGCAATGCGCGCGTCGCCCGGGCCTTTTCTGCGGGTTGGAAGCGCTGAAGTTGCAACGCTGGCTGCCGGCGGGGCTGGCGGCGCGGAGCGGCCCGGGAGGCCGGCTCCCCTGCAGGACGAGACCCTGGGCGTGGCGTCCGTGCTCTCGCAGTGGAGGGGCGTCCAGGGCATCCACGGGGAGACGGTGAGGGCGCGGGGCCCGCGCTGCGCGGCGCGGGCGGGAGGGCCTGGGCGCGGCGTTTTCATCTTCTAAAGCCAAAACTAACTCGAGGATGCTTTCACGTTAGACTTTCCCCAGTCTCCGAGGAGAAAAACAACAACAACAACAAAAAACAAGGACAACAAAACTCCCAGGATTCCGCGTTGTTGTTGTTCAATGACATTTATTTAATTTATGTGACTGCATGGGGCATGCGTGTGACACAGTTCACCTCAGCGAGCCTGGGACTGACTGGTACACTGACCCCGAAGGATGCTCTCAACAGCTCTTGCTTGCTGGGGATTTAGAGTTTAGAAGATTCAAGGTTGGATTTCTTTTTCCTCTTAGAGCAAACAGAAGAGTGTCATTAGTTGTCTTGTAGATAGAAGTTTAGAGCCCTGCTACACGAAGCGAGAAAGCCTGCACCCTGTGACTCCTGACTCCTGGAGGAGATTCTTGAACTTTTGGTTGTATTTTATTTACTGACTCTGGGAGTGTGTGTATGGGCATGTGTGTGCTTGTGGAAAGTCAGAAGACAGTAGGCGCTGGTTGTTTCTGTCTACCATGTGGGTCCTGTGAATGACACTCAGGGGTCTAGGCTTGGCTGCAAGCATCTCTACCTGCCTTATTAGCTGTGAGGATGTTGCAATCACAGGACAAAGTGGCAACTTTTTCTCTCGGTACCGGTGGTTTATGTGAACATTTTGGATTGTCAGAGAAGTGGGAAGCTACTCGTGGTGGCACACTTGTAATTCTAGCACTTGGAGAGGGGAAGCAGGGAATCACAGGTTTGCAGCCAACCCGGGCTCCGTGAGACCTTGTCTCAAAAACAGTAAACGGGCTGGAGAGATGGCTCAGAGGTCAAGAGCACTGACTGTTCTTCCAGAGGTCCTGAGTTCATTTCCCAGCAACCACATGGTGGCTCACAACCACCTGTAATGAGACCTGGTGCCCTCTTCCGGCCTGCAGTCACATATGCTGTATACATAATAAATAAATAAATCTTTAAAAAAAAAAAAAGAGTCCTGGCTGTTTTTCCAGAGGCCTGGGTTTGACACCTTCTTCTGGCTGCTGCAGGCACCAGGCACACGTGTGGTACACAAACATACATGCCAGGTAAAACGTCCACATGCATAAAAATAAGTAACAGCAACAAAAAGAAATGCTTTCTGTGCTTCCAGAAGACCTGACTTTGGTTTCCAGCACCCAGGTTGAGCTACTCACAACTGCCTGCATTACAGCTTCAGGGTGTAGCAGGCTTTCTTTTTTTTTTTTTTTTTTTTTTCCTGTTTTCAAGACAGGGTTTCTCTGTGTAGCTTTGCGTCTTTCCTGGAACTCAATCTGTAGCCCAGGCTGGCCTCGAACTCACAGAGATTTACCTGCCTCTGCCTCCCGAGTGCTGGGATTAAAGACGTGTGCCACCACCGCCCGGCAGCAGCTTTCTTTGGATTACCAGCCAGCTCCCAAATAAAGACATGGACATTTAATATTAGTTAGGGATGCTTGGCCTTATCTTATGCTTGTCTAACTAACTCTTTTTATTTTATTTTATTTTATTTTCCAGACAGGATTTCTCTGTGTAGTCCTGGCTGTCCTGGAACTCACAGAGATCCACCTGCCTCTGCCTCTGCCTCCCAAGTGCTGGGACTAAAGGCTGCCCACTGCCTGGCCCCATCGGCTCTTAAAACTTAAATTAACCTGTTTTCTTCATCTGTATTTTGCCTCTAGACTTTTTTTAAACCTTTTTTTCCATTCTGTATGTCCTACTCTGTGTCTGGCTGGCCCTGGGTATCTCTCTCTCTCTCTCTCCCTCCCCCTCTGGTGTACCCATGCATGTAATTTAGAAACTTACTTTGGGGGCTGGAGAGTTGACTCAGTGGTAAAGAGCACTGGCTGCTCTTCCAGAGGACCCGGGCTCAATTCCCATCCTCCACACGGCTGCTCACAACCATTTGTAACTCCAGGATTAAAGAACTTTTAAAAACTTAATTTATTTCCGCATTTCCTTTTAATCAACTGTTAAGATGTCAGCCGGGTGGTGGTGGTGAATGCTTTTAGTAGGCGGGTCTCTGAGTTCAAGCCAGCCTGCTCTACAGAGTGAGTTCCAGGATAGCAGGACAGCCAGGGATACCCAGAGAAGCCCTGTCTGAAAACAAAACAAACACAAAAAGATGTTTCCTTCCTTCCTGTCAGGAAGCCTGTGTCAGTCAGTGCTCTGGCAAATTCCTTTGGAGAAGTTGAACACAGGCATGTGGTGATCCGTGTCTGCATTTTCGCAGTGGACTAAAAAGAAAGCATTAATGTCCTTTCTCCATTTTTTTGTTCTTTAAATTTTTTTTTTTTTTTTTTTTTTTTTTTTTGGTTTTTTGAGACAGGGTTTCTCTGTGTAGCTTTGTGGCTTTCCTGGAACACACTATGCATCCCAGGCTGGCCTCGAACTCACAGAGATCCGCCTGGCTCTGCCTCCCGAGTGCTGGGATTAAAGGAGTGCGCTACCACCGCCCCGCTAAAACATTTTTTAATTTAATTTTTAATTATTTCCTGTGTATGGATGTTGTGTTTATATACCACATGAGACTGTAGTACCCTTAGAGGCCAGAAGAGGGCATCAGGTACCTCTGGGCCTGGAGTTGCAGAGGATTGTGAGCTTTTGTGTGGTTTCAGAGAATTGAACCCGGGTCCTCTGGAAGAGCAGTCAGTTATCTGAATTGCTGAACTATTGTTCCTGCATCATCATCATCTTCATCATCATCATTATTGAGACAGGGTCTCCCACATACACCTGGCTGGCTTTGCCATCACAGAGATCCACCTGCTGGTACTAAAGATGCGTGCCACCAAAACCAGCTTTTTTCTCAACATAGGCTAATCTGTTCAGAGCAGGAAGGGTTCTGGACATTGCCTTGAGATTGGGTTGGGAGTGCATACTCTTCTTAGGGGCTGGGCCTTGTTCCCTTTGGCGTGTGTTAGAGTCCTTGTGGAAGGTACCATTGCTTCTATGAAAGCACAGTGTTACTCCCCTGGGGGCCTTTAGAATGCAGGTACCCGTGCAGTTGGAGCCACTGGGACGGGACGCCTGGAGAGTTTAATACATGTGCACTTTGCCTGCAGCCTGCTGTGACCCTGGACAGCAGGTGTGTGGTGTGACCTGGGAATCTGTTTTCATGAATCGCAATGCTGAACCAATAGCAGTTAATAACTGCTTCGCTCAGCCTGCTGTCAAAGCCTGCTGTCTTATCAGAGTGTGGGTTAGTAGCCAGATGTGGTAGTTTGGTTCCATGGGTGTGTGTGTGTGTGGAGTCAGGTATTCAGGGCCAGCCTGAATTTTAGGTTAGCCTGGACTACATGAGCTCCGTTTCAAAGAATTGTAGCCGAGCGGTGGTGGCACACGCCTTTAATCCTAGTACTCAGGAGGCAGAGGCAGGTGGATCTTTGTGAGTTCAAGGCCAGCCTGGTCTACAGAGCGAGATCCAGGAAAGGCACCAAAGCTACACAGAGAAACCCTGTCTCGAAAAACCAAACAACAACAACAACAACAACAACAAAAAACCACACCCCCAAAAATTGTAAAAAAGAATAGTGGTAAAATATACATGTAATCCCAGCACACGGATCTCTGTGAGTTCAGGCCAGCCTGGTCTACAGAGTGAGCTCCAGGACAGCCACAAGGACAACAACAAGAAACCGTGTAACAAGTCGACTGGAGAGGCTTGGCTCAGCAGTCAGGAGCACTTGCTGCTCTCAGTCAGGACCTCTGTCCACACAGCAGCTCAGCAGACCTCGACTCTAGCTCCAAGGCACTGTTGCCTCCTGGATCCTGGACACTATGCACATACATGCATACAGGCAAAACACATATATACACACGTAAATAAACCTTTAAAAAACACATGTAACACAGGGTTTTTGAGACTGGATATTTTGCCCAGGCTGTCCCAAACTCCTGGGTTAGCTAGCGACTCCATTATGATCTTTTATTTTCATTTTGTGTGTTTATTTTTACACTGTGTGTGTATGTGTGTGTGTGTGTGTGTCGGGGGGGGGGGGGTGGTCCTAGTGTGAACACCACAGCTCACGTGGCGGTCAAAGGACCGTGGCAGTCAGTTCTCTCCTTCCGTTATGTAGGCCCAGGCGGTCAGGCTCCGTGTGGAGCACCTTTACCTGTGGAGCCATTTTGCTGGCCGCCACCCTGCTCCTTTTGTTTGTTTCCTTGTTTTTTATTTTTCAAGACATCTTACTCTGTGTAGACCAGGCTGGCGTCAAACTCAGATCCGCCTGCCTCTGCCTCCCAAGTGCTGGGATTCAAGGCGTGCACCACCACCGCCCGGCCCCACCTTGTTCTTTTAAAGTGTGCATTCAGTTCCATTTAGGTGCAGGCTAGCAGCTCCAGGCCTTTTTTCTCCTTAGTGGACACTGAGCTAGCTCCTGGAGGGAGGGAGGGGTGGAGGGGGAGAGAGGAAAGGGCCTTGTGCGCTGTCCTCGCTCCTACAGGATCCCAGGAAGTATGAGTGAGCAGTTTTTATCTTTCCATCCCATGGACTGGGGGGGGGGGGCACGTCTGCCACATGAATGAGCTTCAGGGGTCTCCTCCCCTGGCAGGCTGGGGCTTGGCTTGTGTTTCATGGCACATGGCGACCCCTGCTGGAGCCTGTGCCCTTAAGTAAATCCATGCCTCATCCTCTTGGTCCCACTGCCTTGTGCTGGGACGACAGGCATGCTACCTGCCTGGAACCCTCCTCTCTGCTTTGAGACATTGTTGCTCAAGCTGATCTCAAACTGGCCAGCATCCTCCTGCCTCCACCTCCTGAGTGCTGGCTGGGATGACAGGTGTGCGATGCTTTTGTTTCTCGACCCTCCTTAAGGCAGTGTGAAGAGACGGACTAACCAGAAGTCATAGCAGTTAGCACAGGTCTGCTCCCAGCCTGGCCAAGGAAGGGCGCCTCCTGGGGTCAGGTCTTTTGAGTAGCCCTGTGCCGCAAAGCACTCAGGGCCGAGTTTCAGCCTAGGAAATTCGGGTCACCTGGTAGAATCCTTGTCTAGTATGCAGGAAGCTGGGCATTTAATCCCCACCACTGAGTAAGCTGGGTGTGGGAACATACCTGTAACCCCAGGGAAAGCAGGAGGCTCCCAAGTTCAAGGTCATCTCCAGTTACAGGGTGAGTTTGAGCCCCTGGAAGTGGAGGAGGCTGCGTATACACATTACACACACACACACACACACACACACACACACACACACACACACACACACACACACCAAGTTCCTGTGGGGGGGGGAGAGGCCAGATCTGACTGCTGGCTCAGCTGCCGAGTTCCCTTAGAGGTAGGTCTGTGTGTCCTTCACCCTGGATGAGTAGGTGCAAGCTTGCTATAATGCAGCCACTGCGAGTGTCCACCAAGTGTTCCCACGCGGCTCTTTGGTGGGCTCTTCTTACCATTGTCAAGACCAGGGGCTTAGATGTGCTCAGAAAAGAGGGTGAAGGGGCTGGGTGTGTGGCCCTGGGCTCCACCTCAGGACCACAAAAATAAGTATGCCAGGCAGCAGTGGCACACGCCTTTATTCTCAGGCAGAGAGCTGGGCGGATCTCTGTGAGTTCAAGCCCAGCCTGGTCTATTAGATGACAAAGTGAGTTCCAGGACAGCCAGGACTGTTACAAAGAGAAACCCTGTCTGGAAAAAAAAAAGAGAGAGACAGGGTTTCTCTGTGTAGCCCTGACTGTCCTGGGACTCACTTGGTAGCCCAGGCTGGCCTCAAATTCGCAGAGATCTGCCTGCCTCTGCCTTCCCAGTGCTGAGATTAAAGGTGTGTGCCACCACTGCCCAGCACAAACAAAAAATTTTAAAGAAAGTCTCGTGCTTCCCAGGCTGGTTTATAGTTGCCGTGTAGCCAAGGATGAACTCGAGAACCCCCTGCCTCCGCGTGCCACATGGTAGGATTGCAGGTGTGAGTCATCGTTTTAGGGTTTTTATTGCTGTGAAGAGACACTAGGGCCTCAGGAACTCTCATGAAGACATTTAATTGAGGTGGTGGCTCACAGCTTCAGAGGCTTAGCATGGCAGAGAGCATGGTGGCTGGGAATTTGGCTGTGGAATTCTACATCTGATACAAAGGCAGCAGGAAGTGAACTGTCTCACAGGGTGTGGACTGAGCAGATATGAGGCTGCAAAGCCCACCCCCCACAGTGACGCACTTCCTCCAACAAGGCCACACCTCCCAGTAGGGCCCCTCCCTCTGGGGGCCATTTTCTCTCAAACCTCCATTGTCTTTGTGTTGGTTTAGATGGCATCTTTTTTTTAGACAGGGTAGCCCTGGATGTCCTGGAGCTTGCTACGCAGACCAGGTTGGCCTGGAACTCACAGAGCTCTTTCTGCCTCTGCCTCAGCTTCTGTCTCCTGCATCCTGGAATTACGGGGTTGCACCACCACACCAGGCTGACCAGATGTTTTCAGCTGGAAGCTTTGGCTTTGTCCACCTGTGTTGATGTCATTGACTTTCCCATCTTGCTCTAGGGCTAGCATCGCTTGGCTTGCCCGTGGTCAGGCTGTCGGAGGCCATGGAGGAGCTGTGCCCTCATGGTCTGCCCTGAGCTGCTGTCCAGGCAAGGTGCGAGGCTGTTTCCCTGAACCATCAGGACATTTACTCTGTCAAGCCAACTTCCAGGACTGATAACTAGTGATAGTCGAGCCAGCCCCGAGTTCTTTAGAGCAGTGGTTCTCAGCCTTCCTAACGCTGTGACCCTATAATAGTTCTCATGTTGTGCTGACCCCCAACCGTAACATTATTTTCATTGCTACTTCGTAATTTTTTTTTTTTTTAAGATTTATTTATTACACATACAGTGTTCTGTCTACATGCCAGAAGAGGGCATCAGATCCCACTATAGATGGTTATGAGCCACCATGTGGTTGCTGGGAATTGAACCCCGGTCCTCTGGAAGAACAGCCAGTGCTCTAACCTCTGAGCCATCTCTCCAGCCCTCATAACTGTAATTTTGCTGCTGTAATGAATCGCAATGTGAATATCTGACATGCATCCCCAAAGGGGTTGTCACCATAGTGTTAGGACCACTGTTAGGACACCTGTCCCCCGCCCCTGTGCTGGTCAACCTTGACTATAAGTAGCAGACACCAACCCAAACCAGCTCATGGCAGACTCCTTGTAGTGTGTCTCAAGACCTCCCCATGGAACATGCAGCTGATTCTGAGAGGCAGAAACTGGAATCCACCATCATTATCATTTTGTGGCCATGTGTGTGCAAGCTTATGCACATGTGTGGAGGCCAGAGGAGCCTTCCAAGCTCTGAGATCACAGGTGGGAGCTGCCAGGGTTGCTTGGCTCCAGTCTGCCTGAGGCTTTGCTTGGCCTCCCTGGACTGGTTCCAGCAGCCTCCACACGGGCTCCTGATTTTCCCTTACACTTGAGTCTGAAGGGGCTGGCAAGGCCTTCTCCGTGTCCCGTGGGGCTGGCTGTCGAGCTGACCCCCTCAGGCCTCTGCCAGAGCCAAGCACCTTTGTACTGGAGCCTTCTGTTTTGATTTGTGTTCCCCATTTATGTGCCTGGGACCAAGGATCCTGCCTGTGGTCTTCCCTGTTGTCTGGCTGGTAGGAGCAGGTCAGGGCGTGTGTTTACATCTACTCCACAAACACCGGTGAAGTGCTGGACATGTGGAAATGGTAAGGGGGCCCTGTGCTGGAGGGACGCCCTGTTTGCCACCTGGGAGTTTGGGGCAGGTGTGAAGTTGATAAAACAGACAGCTGGCTGCCAGGGACAGCTGCCTGTCCCTGTCCCTTGTCGCTGGGAAAGGCACTGCACCAGGTCCCAGGGCCTTGTGGTCCTGGAGGGGTTTGTGTGCAGAGCTTTGGTGGGGGGCAGTGATCTGGGCCTCACTCCCAAGAGCCTCTTGGTAAAGACAAGGAGATAAAGGTGGCCACACCCTTGGTCTGATGCCTCTCTCCACGTCCAGTGTAGTAGGGACGGGGCCTGTGCAAAGGTCGCGGGAGGGTCACAGGAGTAGCCGTGGCCTCGCCCACTGACTTGTCGTGATGCCTGTCTGAAAGAAAGGGACCAGCTCCAGTTAGTTTTGTTGTTTTGTTAACTTGACAAGGCAGGGTCATCTGCAAGGAGGGGCCTCGGGTGCTGGGATGCCTGCATCACACTGGTCTGTAGGCGTGTCTGGGGGGCATTTTCTTGATTCAAGATTGTTGTGGGAGGGCCCACCGTGGGTGGCGCACTCTCACAGGTGGTCCTGGCTTGTAGAAGATAAGGGGCTGGATTCTTCTGTGGCCCCTGCTTAAGCTCCTGTCTGCAGGTTCCTACCTTAAGTTCCTGTCTTGACTTCCTTTGATGGTTGTGGTAGTTTGAATGTAATTGGCCCCGTAGTCCCATAATCCCATAGGGAGTGGCACTATTGGGGGTGTGGCTTAGTTGGAGTGGGCGTGGCCACTGTGTCACTGGGCTTCCAGGTTTCATATACCCAGGACGCCACCCAGTGTCAGTTTAGTTGACTTCCTGTTGCCTGCAAGATGTAGCACTCTGAGCTCCAGCACCCCTCTGCCTGCACGCCATGGTGATAATTGACTGAACCTCTGAAACTGTAAGCCAGCCCCTCAACTGAACGTGTTCTTTAAGAGTTGCCGTGGCCCTGGTGTCTCTTTACAGCAATAGAAGCCCTGACTAAGACAGTGATGGAGTCTTAACTGTAAATAAACCCTTTTCTCCTCAAATTGGTTGGTCAGTGTAGCAACAGAGAACAGCCTAGGCAGTAGACCAGGTGGATTCGAACTCACAGATCTGTCTGCCTCAGCCTCCCCAGTGCTGGGATTAAAGAATGTGCCACCACATACAGCATGCAGTATGTGCTCTCAACCACTGAGCCATCTCTCTAGGAAACACCCCTCCCCCAACTGGTTTTTAAAAGTAATTTTGTGTGTGTTTGTGCCGATATTCGTGCAAGTCTGAGGACAACTTTCAGGAGTCGGTTCTCTTTCCACCATGTGGGTTCTGGGAATCGAACCCAGGTCACTGAACTTGGCAGCAAGTGCCTTTACCCGTGGAGTCATTTCGCTGGCCCCGACCCTGGTTTTCATCTCCTTTCAGAAAGGTTGCCAGACAGCCAGCATTGCCACAGCAGAGGCGTCTGCCCAGGCCCAGACACACGCGGATGCCCAGGTGCAGACAGAGGCCCCTGAGCCAGCGGCCGTGGTGCCCGTTTCCCAGCACGACGCTCTCAGGCTCGCAGCCTTTCTCCGCAGGGTGGAGGTCATGGTCATCCGGGAGCTGAACAGCAACTGGCAGAGCCACGCCTTCGATGGCTATGAGGTGAACTGGACAGAGCCGCAGCAGACGGTAAGGCTGCCCTGGGTGGTGCCGTCCCGAGGCCCCAAGGCCTCTTTAGATCTTTGCTTTGCTCCACCCAGGGACAGTACAGCCAGTACACCAGGTCCGGGGGTGTGGGCTGCCTCACCCTGGGAGGAGGAGGTGGCCCCTCAGGGGAAGCCTGTGACCATAATGAAAGGAAGTGGCTGAAGAGGTGTGGGGTTTGCCCCAGGGCAGCCTGCCACTAGCCTGGTACCACCCTAGGGGGTGAGCTGTTGTGGTCTCTCCTCAGTCAACTGGATTACTGTTATCTTCTCTTCATAGATAAGGCCTGGAGAGGCTGAGTGCCTTGCCTGGGGCTGCACGGTCTGAATTAGCTGAGCTGGAACCTGACCCCTGGACTGTGTGCTAAAGGCACCAGCGTGTCTTGACGTTGCTGCTTTCCAGGCACAGCTGAAGCGTCAAGTGTGACTAAACGATGGGGTTGGTCTCCTTGTTTTATGGTGGCCTCAGGTTACCTCACTTCTCCCAGCTCTGTTCTCAGTGTGACAATTGAGAGATTTGGGGTTTTCAAGTTTTTTTTTTTTTTTTTTTTTTAGAGCTGAGGACTGAACCCAGGGCCTTGTGCTTGCTAGGCAAGTGCTCTACCTCTGAGCTAAATCCCCAACCCCTCAAGGTTTTGAAAACAGGGTTTCTTTGTATAACAGCCCTGGCTGTCCTGGAACTCGCTCTGTAGACCAGGCTGGCCTCGAACTCACAGGGATCCACCTGCCTCTGCCTCTGGAGAGTTGGGACTAAAGGTGTGTGCCACCACCACCACCGCCACCGCCCAGCCTTGTTTTGTTTTTTGCTCAGAGTCCAGGCTGCCACTCCTCCCGTGAGTGTGACAGTCACCCACGTGGGCCACCTGGCTATAGAGTGTGCTTTTTTTTTTTTTAAGATTTATTTTTATGTATACAGTGCTCTGTCTGCCTGTTTGCCAGAAGAGGGGACCAGATGTCATTACAGACGGTTGTGAGCCACCAGGTGGGTGCTGGGAATTGAACTCTCTGGAAGAGCAACCAGTGCTCTTAATCACTGAGCCATCTCTCCAGCCCAGATGTCTGTCTGTCTGTCTGTCAGTGTATCTGCTTCCATGTCTCTATCTGCTTGTGGGTATGTGCATGTGACAGTATGGTGCCCATGGAGGTTAGAAAGGGTATCATCTTTTAGAGTCAGAGTTACAGGCTGTTGTAGGTTGCCTGATGTGGGTGCTGGGAATTGAACTCAGGTCCTCTGGAAGAGTAGTACATATGCTTAATCTTTAGCCATGGTTTACTTTTTTTTTTTCCTTTTGAGATAGGGTTTCACTGTGTAGCCCTGGCTGGCCTAGAGCTCATTATGGGGATCATGCTGATCTCAAACTTGCAGAGATTCCCGACTTCTGCCTCCAGAGACGTGCATCACCATGACCAGTTACACTTTTAGAACTGAAAGTGCCCAGGTGGCAATGCCTATAGGCTCATGATTTTCCCCAGGTAAGGGAGTTCAGGGCAGCAGGTCCCAGGTCAAGGAGCCGCATGTGACAGACCATGCGCTCCTCAGGAGTCTCCTGCCTTGGCCTTGTCCCTAACCATTTTCTTGAAGGCATCTCTGCAGTGGTAACTTTGGTAGGGTGCAGACTTCAACCTCTTCATCGGCAGCTACATCACAGGCTCATCTGCACTCACTGGCCTGCGTCCTTGGCTCGCCAGGCAGGCTACCTTGACGATGTCCAGGTCTCTGGAGGCTGTGCCTTGCTTTACTCTCATTTTTCTTTGTGTTTTGGTTTACTTATTTATTTTTGACAGCTTAAGCAGAAGTTATTTAGCAAAGCAAATGTTCCAAAGACATATTGGAGTGGGCTGCCCCAAGGCAGAGTGTCTTTTTTATTTCAAAAACAAAGAACAGCAGGATCTCACTATGTAGCTCTGGCTAGTCTGGAATTCTCCATGCAGACCAGGCTGGCCTTGAACTCAGAGATTCACCTACCTATACAGCCCAGGCTGACCTCAAAGTCTTGGCACTCCACCTTCCTCAGCCTCCACATGCCTCATGCCTCACCACACTAGTGGGCCCGAACTCCTTGGGTCTCTGTCATGAGTGGGACTGCTGCTGTGTGGCCTTTGGGGGTCCATCAGCATTCCCACAGCCGTGTTCATCAGTGGCAGTGGACATGTGTTCCTGAAGGCTTTTCTGCAGGACTGGGCTCTTGCCTTGGGCCAATCGTGAGACTGGGAGGTGTGGAGCTTTACACCTGAGTTTTGGTTCTCAGCTACTAAGCCCCCCCCCCACCCCAATCCTCCCCCCGCGCCGCAGGCCCCCCCCCCCCCGCATCTGTTGGGACTGCGACCATCTCTTTTGCTGTCCCACCTGCTGGGAAAAAGACTCCAAATCAAGACTGCAAGATTTGGGGAGACAGGGTGTGGAGCCAGACATGTTGGCCCCCATCTGTAATCCTAGCACCATGAGACTGCAGCAGGAGTGCCGTGAGTGTGAGGCTAGCCTGGGTTATCTGTTGAGACTCCTCAGCTAGCCTTGCTGAGGTGTGGAGGCCGCTGGAGTTTAATGTCGTCCTGTGTGCACGTCCTGTGTGCAGCTGCTGCCTGCCACCGAGACCCTGGCTTGCAGCCTGCGTCCGCTGCACTTCTCAGGCACCTTCCAAGGCTCTGGAAGTGCTTACACTCCACGGATGGCAGATGAAGGCCATGTTCTGTCTTTGGGGGTGGGGGCGATGTGGAGACAGGGTCTTGTTAGGAAGCCAGCCTGGTACTCACTCTAGTTCAAGCCGGCCTAGAACTCATGCAGTCCTCCTGCCTCAGCCTCCCAAGTGCTGGGATTATGATGATGAGCCCCGTACCTAGAGTAGTCTCCATCATCCTTTGGGAGCTGTAGGCCTCAGTCTGCCCAGGCTTGGGTGTGATTTTCCTATGCTGCCTTGAGGCTACCTACTAGAGCAGTGGTTCTCAATCTTCATAACAATGTGACCCTTTAATACAGTTCCTCATGGTGTGGTGACCCCAACCATAAAACTAGTCTCCTCGCTACTTCATAACGGTCGATATGAATTGTAATGTAAATATTTGTGCTTTCCAATGGTCTTATGTCATTTGACCCCCAAGGGGCCGTGACCCACAGGTTGAGAACCACTTACTAGATGGTTTCAGTGCTTAGGGCTAGGATTGTCCTGTCTCTGTAGGTGTCCTGTCTTCACACCCTGGTCTACCCCCCAGCCCAAGGGCAGGGTCTGCATGTGACCGGCATTTCCTGGAACTCCACAGGCTCTGTGCTGGCCTGTGCTTACGGTCGGTGAGTGACAGCTGGGGTGTTTGGGAAATAATGGAGATCCCAAGACTTGTTCGGGCCTCTGTTTCATTAGCTTCAGTGTAAAGGATTAGGTAAAGAGCAAGGGAGGGCTGAGGGCCCAAGGCCCACCTCCCTACCCGGCAGTGAGTCCTGAGCTCATGTTGGCCTCCAGCCATTACTCTGGTGTCTCTTGCTGGATGCTCCGTGGTCCCACCAATGCATAGATACACACTTGGGGTCTGAGAACCCTTTTCCCTACATAGGGTCTCATTATGTAGCTTAGGATGGCATTGGTCTCTTTGACTCAGCGCTGGAATTACAAGTGTCCTCTGCTTACAGTGGGCTACTGACCGCCCAGCTCCAAGGCAGAGTCCGTATGGGACTAGCTTTTTCTGTAACACCCGGGGCGTACAGACAGGGCACCTGCAGTGACATCATGCCTGGCTTGGGAACTTTTCAGTGCCACAGAGGAACCTGTGAATACACCCATAGCACAGTCTGGGTGTGAAGGGGGCACAGGCTAATTTTTGCAGGGGTTAGCGGGGCAGAGATGGAGGAAATGCTGGGAGCCCTGGAGGTCACTCTGGCATGTCCTCATGCAGGCTGGACGATGGGGACTGGAGCACGCTCAAGTCTTATGTGTGTACCTGGAACCTGGACCGCCAGGGCCTGAACCCCCAGCAGCCATCAGCAGTGGTGGAGGTGTCCAGCGCTGTCATGTGCCTGGCCTTCCACCCCACGCAGCCCTCACACATTGCAGGTAAGTGCCTAGCCTTCCCAGCCTGCTCTTCCCAAGGTTCTGCTTCCCACCCAGCTACGGGCACCAGGAAGCTTTTGGCTGGCCTGTCAGCTGCTGGCCAGGGCAGGCCACTTGGTGGGAGTCAGTGAGGTTGCCCTGGCCCTCTGGCTTGTCTGTAGCTGGGGGATAATCTGCCCGTGTGGACCAGTGAGGGGGCGGAGCTTAGAGGAAGGAGTCATTTGGAAGGGGCCAAGTCTGGCTGTTGAAGCAGCAGGATGAGAAAGAGCTGGATAAAGAGGTGTGCTACTCAGTGCTGACAGCAGATGTGCCTGCTGGAGGGGTGGGGGGCTGGGCACGGGCCTCAGCTTTCTGTGGGGAATGGTCCCCAAGGTGCAGCAAGGAGGGACTGAGTTTGAGCCCCAGGAACTAGGGTCCCCCCCCCCCCCAGGAAATCCTCAGCAGAGGCCTTTGTCCTCACTACATGGCATGGAGGGGTTGCTGGCTGTGGCCGAGCTGATGCCCAGACCCTGCTCACCCTCACAGGGGGGCTGTATAGCGGTGAAGTGCTGGTGTGGGACACGAGCCGACCCGAGGACCCACTGCTTTGGCGCACAGGTCTGACTGACGACACCCACACAGACCCTGTGTATCAGGTCAGGAGGCTGATGGGGGAGCAGGAGGTCACTTCCACACCCTTGGAGGGGGTGATGGCATCAGCTGCTTCGGGGAGTTGGTGGTTGGACAGCTGCCTGGGCATTCTTGGAGTACCGGTCTGAGCCAGCTCTCCCACGGGTTGCTCTCTAGGGCACAGGGCTTTTCTCCAGCCTCCTTCCTACACAGTGGCCTGCGCCAGCCTTCCTGGGTGCTGGCATAGTGGCCTGGAGGGAGGACTTCAGAAGCCTGGGCCGCCCCTGGCTCTGGGAGGCAGCGGGGGAGGCTGACACTGCGAATGCTCCCCTCTCCCCTGCCCCATGCTTTGTGATCTCAGGTGTTATGGCTGCCTGAACCCCGGCACAGCCACCGCTTCCAGGTGCTGAGTGCGGCCACTGATGGGAGGGTGCTGCTCTGGAGGGCCAGCGGGGCGGGCCAGCTGCGGCTCTCCAAGGGCTTTGCTCTGGCCGTGCAGCAGCTGCCGAGGAGCACCAAACTGAAGAAGGTGAGGACGTGGGCCCGAGGCCAGAGGGCTGTGGGCACCTGTCTGTGCTCTCCCCTCTGCCCTCTGGCTGTTGATGGTCACTGCCGTTTTTCCACAGCCACCCCGTGGCGAGACTGAGGTGGGGGTGACATCAGTGGCCTTCTCCAGCTTCGACTCCAGCCTTTTCGTTCTGGGCACAGAAGGTGGCTTCCCCCTCAAGTGTTCCCTGGCGGCAGAGGCAGCGGCTCTCACTCGGACGGCCAGCTCTGTGCCCCTCAGGGCCCCCGTGCAGTTCACGTTCTTTCCTCACGGTGGCCCGGTGTACTCTGTGAGCTGTTCCCCTTTCCACAGGTAGGGCAGCCTGGGCTCACCACTCAGCACAGGGCAGGCTACCCTGCCCCAGGGTTTTCAGCACCAGCACTCTGGTTCTTTGGACTTGGATGGTGGTGGTCCCAGGGCCCATCCCCCTCCTTAACGACTCATCTCAGACGTGGAGTTGGCCAGGGAACGTTCCCCAGGCAGACAGCCCAGGAGGTGCTTCTCTCTGCACGGTCTAGGAATCTCTTCCTGAGTGCCGGGACCGACGGCCACGTCCACCTGTACTCCATGCTGCAGGCCCAGCCTCTCACCTCCCTGCAGCTCTCTCACAAGTACCTGTTTGCCGTGCGCTGGTCCCCTGTGCGGCCCTTGGTGTTCGCTGCCGCTTCTGGGGAAGGTAGGCGAGAACCACGCGGCCTGTTTTAAGTCATGTGATGAGGATGGCTTTTACCCAGGCCACTGGCGCCCACCACAGGGCACACGGGAAAAGTGCGTGCCACAGCCTCGCCCAGCTTGGCCTCGAGTTTCTGAACCTTTCTTCCTGCAGGGGATGTACAACTGTTTGACCTCCAGAAAAGCTCCCAGAAGCCCACAGTTTCCATAACACAAACCCAAGATGGAAGTCCCGTCTACTGTCTGGAGTTCAACAGCCAGCAGACTCAGCTCCTGGCTGCTGGTGATGCCAAGGGCATGGTAAAGGTGTGGCAGCTGAGCACAGCCTTCACAGAACAAGGGCCCAGGGAAACGGAGGACCTGGACCAACTGGAAGCAGAAGTCGCTACCTGAGGGCCACAAGGAGCGGCAGGGTGGGGGTGCCCCTCCGGGAAGGCTGTGTGCTGAGCTGGATAAAGAGGAACAAAGGCTTTTAGGGGAGAATGGAGTCCTTTATTTGTCTTTTACATGAAAACAGAATCTGGGAAGGGAGGAAAGAGAACAAGATGAGCCAGCTGCTTTGATTTTAAGTGGGAATGAGGGCAGCTGGCTCAAACGGTTTGGGTCCCACAGCAACCTGGTGATTGTGATTGGACTGGAAGCAGTTTACTGAAGCACCGTTTTCTACGAAGTCTTACCCCAAGCTAAGCAGGCCTATGGCTACACTGGAAAGTAACACTGTCTGGGTATTAGGAAGTGACATGCAGCGGGGGACACAGGCAAGCAGTGTGGGTCAGGCTCACCTACGGGAGCCACGGATCAATTCACAAAGAGGGAGCGGGTGAACTCGACGTAGTCGAAGGCAGTGGGGAGTTCACGGCCTTTGCCATCCACATAGGGCTTCATGTGGGAGACGCAATAGTCGGCTTGTTCCCGGGTCAGGTTCTGGAGGAACAGCAGTGCAGTCAGCTAACCATGACAACACGTGCCCACAGGGAAGGCGCTGTTGAGCCAGGCCAGCTCTGCCAGCAGACAGGCTTCTGACTGTGTGTGTGTGTGGTGTGTGTGTGTGTGTGTGTGTGTGTGTGTGTGTGTGTGTGTGTGTGTGTGTGTGTGTGTGTGTTTGTGTGTGAGCCTTCAGCTTCAGTGGTGCCCAGGAACTCAGGCCCTTCCCAAGGTCCTACCTGGTAGAGCTCCTCCTTGGTCACGTAAGGCTTGCCCTCAGAGCTGAGGGCCCGGAAAGCGCTCTCAATCTCTTCACTGGACTTGACATTCTCCGTTTCGCGGCTGATCATGAAAGCCATGTATTCTTGCAGGGAGACATGGCCATCCCTATGGAGGCAGTACAGTAAACAAGGAGGGCAGGGGGGGCTGAAACCGTGTCCAATGTCCCTTCAGCTTACCTGTTGGGATCAACAGTGTCCAGGATTGCCTCAAACTCGGGGTCGGGCTCTCCTTCCTCCACCATTGGCAGGTCGTAGCCCAGGGAGCGAAGACAGGATTTGAATTCCTGATGGTTCAGCCGGCCAGACTTGTCCTTGTCAAAGTGCCTGTAGCACAGAGCCCAGCTCAGCACATGGTTCCCTGCCTCCATCCACCCTCAGCCATCGTCCCTGGGCCATACTCACTTGAACATCATGCTGAATTCCTTGAGGGCCTCCTCGGTCACTCCTGTTGTGTTCCTGGGAGAAGGCGAGAGATAGCAATCAGGCCTTCCGTGCACAGGTGGCATGTTCTCCCCTCCTGTGCCAGTCCCGTGAGGACAGCTGCACTCTGGGCTGGCCCCTGCTGGGCCCCCCACCCTGGTACCTGGCCTGGATCTGCTGCTCCAGGTTGTGCTGCATGCGCATGCCCAGCTGGTCCAGCTGGTCCCACTGCTGGGCCAGGCCCACAGTGCTGTGCTCAGTGTACTTGTTGTCCAGAATGAGGGCTTCCTCCATGGCGGCCCCCAGGTCCTCAATTTTCTTCAGCTGACTTCTCATGGCTCGAATCTCCTGGTGCTTGCGCTGCCAGGGGGGACAAAACAGTGTGAGACAGGGACCCCCAGAACCCAGCTGAGGAAAGGAAGAGTGGGAAGGGGTAAGGATGGGGAAGGAAAAAAGTCTTCCTAACACAACTGCAGAGGTGCCGGTCAGGAGGCAGTGTGTACATGAGGCCTCTTGGCCTTTTCAATGGAGTTCAGTTACAGCAGCTGGCAGAGACTGTCTCTGAAAGAAGCCCAAAGGCTGTTGAAGCTAAGGGAGAAAATCGGCCTTGGCAGCTTCAGGCCGAGTGGCTGCCGGGCTGGGGGTCTCTCTCTGCGGTGGCCAAAGCCCTTTGGGCACTCACTTTGGTAGCTTCAAGCTGAGATTCCAGAGTTCCTGATTCTTCCACCATGCAGGACCTAAACACAGAAGCACAGTGAGCAGGGCTCCAATGCAGCACACCAGTGCCCACATTTAACTCTTCCTCCTGGTACAAAGTGCCCACAGCCTGAGGAAACAACCCATCTGGTGTTGGGCACCCCTTCTAAAAAGCCTGGGAAAGGGCAGGTCCCATTTCTTTTTAGAGACACATGGGCCAGGGGCTTCTCAGCTCTTAAAAGATCACTTGGGAACTAAATTTGTTCCCCATAGGAACAGAGCAGCTTCAGGCCTGACAGCCACTTTTCTGCACCAACAGGAGGCCAAGAACCCAACAGACAGGGGCCCTTGGGGCTGTAAGGACAGTCAAGAGACTGACAGTCCCCTTAGCCTTACTTCAGTTCCCCTTAGGATAGAACTGAGGGGAAAGCTGCATTCTAAGAGACAGCAGGCCAATAAGATAGCTGAGTGGGCGTGCTGCAGGCTGGTTCCAGCTGAGGACAGCTGTGCTAGAACTCTGGATTTGGCCTCCTTTTGAAGACCATTTTCTGAGGAGCCTGCTTCTCTCCAAGATGTAAGTGTGAGCACAAAGAAGGTTCCCAGTGAACAAAGACATCAAACGAGCAGGGTCACGTGCAGGGACAAGTTCACACAGTGCACACAGCCCCGTCTCTCTGCACCCATGTCTACCCCAGTCTACCCTTGTAGCTTCAGTGAGCCAGGAAGAACTCTAAAACCTACCCAGGTTCAGAGTGCTTTAGCAAGGCAAGGCACCAGGCTTCCTCCTACCCCAGCAGTTGAGACTCACAGGCACGCCCCATCCCCCAGGAAAAGGGAGCCCCAGGGACTGGGGCAGGAGGCAGGGCCAGTGCATCGGAGGGGAACAGACCCTCCTCCCAAGTGGCTAGGGTATGGGTTAGAAGCAGAGCCGCCTGGGAGTCCAGAGTGCATTGGTAAAACCACAGTGAGGGAAGAAGAGAAATAAGAGGAGAAGAACCTTCCAGACAGATCATCCCCAACTTCATACTGATAGACACGAATGACCCGACGATATGCTATGCTATTCAAAGAAAAGAAACCAAATGAATATACCAAAGGAAGGCGAGGCAAGAGCATATCGAGACAGACATGTGCCACAAGCTGGCAGCCTGGCATCGGGTGGGAACCATGGGTAGCTCAGGGGCATTGGGCCAGGTGGGACAAGGCTTGGGAGGAGCCACAGGTGAGGAAGCATGGCACTGCACAGACACAAGACCCAGAGCAGCAGACAGCATAGCGTGGGGAGGCCTGTGGGGCTCAGGCCAGGTGCTGCAATCCTTCCCGCCTTGCAAAGCCTCTTACAACCTGACTGGTGTGGGCAGATTTCTGGGGTCACTACCCTTACATGCCTGACTTTCCCCTCTGCAGAACCTCATGGGCTCTAGTTAAGCCTTAGTCTGGCTTGGCCTGGCAAGAATGGACAGGGAGATGGCCTGGGTACAGGCTCCTTCTGGGACTGGGAGATAGCCCTGTTCCTCCCGGGGACTCCTCCAAGCCCTGTCTCCATACCACATTATAACATTGGACATTCTACCTTTTTGCTAGGGTCAACAATTCTGGTTACCCTCCCCAGGGGAAGATAGGGTCACCTCAGCCCTAAGGGGGCTGCAGAGCTTCCCTCAACTGAACTCAGCCCAAGCTCCTATCACAGCCATCCAGCCTCATAGGCCCACTGACTACTGGGGCTTAATGCAAATCCTTCTGGTCACAACGGGAAAACAGGCCAAAAGGGAAGTTTCATCTAATCCTGGCCAACAGGCATGGACAGGGGCTCTAGCCTTAGACTTGACTCTGGCTTCCTCTCACGCCTTGAAAGAGGGGAAGTGACACCCCCAAAGACCATGGGTTCTTCTAGCAGGGACAAAGGGCATGGACAAGGTGGGCAGGAGGCCCATCCTTTGCAAGCCAGGCCACTGGGGACAAGGGACACAGGGACAAGCACACAAGACACCACCACACCATGAGCCCGGAGAAAGAAGGCAATATTAACCCGTCGAGGAGATACGTTCTGTGGAGGGCCAAGCAGTCAGGAGCCAGGGGAGTGTCCACATACAGCAGCGATCAGGACGGGATGGAGGAGAGAAGAAAACAACAGAACATCAGTATGCTCTGCCCCCGACAATGCCAGCTTAGTCTCTGCCAGCCCTGACTGAGCCCTGAACAGGTCTATCTCACTTGGGACAGCTGCTAACATCTCAGTGGAAATGAATCATGAAGAGCAACTCAACCAGATTATGCCAGCCTTCTTAGTCCAAGCAGTCCTCCCCACCACTGCATCTTGCGGGGTGAGATAGGGTCTTGCTACAGTCTCCAATGGCACGTAATATGTAAACCACACTAGACTCAAGCTCATGGCCATCCTCTTGTGCACTGGGATGACAGATGCGAACTGTACCTGGTTTAGGCACTAGTTTCTGTTTTTTTCTGTTTTTGAGACAGGGTTTCTGTGTAGTCCTGGCTGTCCTAGAACTCACTCTGTAGACCAGGCTGTCCTCAGACTCAGATTCAACTGGCTCTGCCTCCCGAGTGCTGGGATTAAAGGTGTGTGCCACCACCGTCCGGCTTAGGTGTCAGGTTTTAAACAGGCTGTGTGTCCCCGAGCTGAAGGGGGTGGATGTTCTCTGGGGGCCCCACGGCAGGCACCTGGTCTCCTGGATCCACTGGTGGAAGGCATTGGCGTGCTGAGCAAACTCCTGGCGCAGCTTGTCATTCTCCTCCTGCCGCCGCTGCTCCTTCTGCAGCTCCAGTTCCCGCTCCTGAGACAAAAAGGCAGGCAGGTGCTGCTACCTTCTGCAGGTTCCCGAGAGCTGGCCTCACACGGGCTCAGCATAAACGTGGCTCTACCCTGGGGAAATGCCAGTGGGACTTCAAAGTGGAGGGGACAGAAGTCCTACTGAAGCTGACCCAATGAGCAGCAGCCCGGAGGCAGGGGGCAGGGGGCAGGGGGCAGGGAGCAGGGAGCAGGGCTGCTGAGTGACTTGCCCGCCAGGTGCACCTTAATGATTTTCTGCAGGTTCCTCCAGGTCTCCTCCAGGGCCTCCATGGTGAACCAGGTGTAGGGGTTGGAGGCCACCCGGAAGCTCTTGATCTGGCGGTCCAGCTCAGCTAGCTGGTTGAAGT